AACCATGTTTTCTTGTTATTCTTACTTAGGCCAAGTTTGGCATGTCCCAAAAAATACAAAAAGTTACTCAAAAAGTTAAAAAGTTATCATTATTCATAAAAAAAAATATTAAAAAATTAATTTTTCACACAGAAGTACAACTCAGCAATTTGACATGTTCAGCTCTGTGCTGCGTTTGTTAAGAAAAATTGCACAGTTTTGGTGTAATTTTCACACACTGCTGTTCGGCCCATGGGGGCCCATCACGGGTCCCGTTTTGATAATCTGAACCGTTCAATATGTAGAACTCGTCGAGTCCTATATATATATAACAAATCACATTGATCGGATATCGATAACTATATGATCAAATCAGTTTTGTATAAAAAAATAGATGGTGTTATAATTAACGATTGAAAAAAAACACATCTGATCAGATAGCTATTGATATTTGATCAACGTGATTTTCTATAAGCATATAGTACTCGACGAGTTCTACGCATTGTACGGCTCAGATTATCAAAATGAGACCCGTGATGGCCCCCACGGGCCTAACAAAACCGTTCAGTGCAATACTCGAAAATTAGCCAATAATTTCTTATCATCAACTCAACCCTCAGATTGTACAACTGTTGACTTTTCATTTCTAATCTTCTTCGACACACCTCTTTATACAATTTTTTAATACACATTTTTTCATAAAAAGTTAAAAAATTAACCCAAACATCCATATTTTTTTCCTCAACTTTTTAGTCTAAAAAGATAACCAAATCAGTCTTCCGTTAACTAATAGAGACGAAAATGGGTGGAGGGATCGGATAGCAACACAGGTGGAATGGTAGGATACAAATTGTCACAATTTGAAACCTGGAGTTTAATTTGAAAAAGGCGCCAAACCCTGAAATTTTTTGTGTGATTTCCCCTTAAAATTTTATTTCAATTAATAATTCAGATAATTTTATTATTGTATAACAAAACCGTTCAGTGCAATACTCGAAAATTAACCAATAATTTCTTATCATCAACTCAACCCTCAGATTGTACGACTGTTGACTTTTCATTTCTAATCTTCTTCAACACACTTCTTTATACAATTTTTTAATACACATTTTTTTATAAAAAGTCAAAAAATTAACCCAAACATCCATATTTTTTTCCTCAACTTTTTATTCTAAAAAGATAAAAAGTGTATTTATTTAAGACACCCCAAATAACCCTTAGTCTCATTTATTTCTTAATAATTGCAAGCATGTGAAGAAAAATGTTATGCAGCAACTATTTGGTCAAATGAAAGTGCACAGGAGTTGTAATTATTTGGTGATTTTGAATTATAATCACCTTTAACTTTGATTTTAAATTATTCATGATGTGTCATATAAAAAAAAACACAATTCAAGGTCTAACATTTGCATCTTCTAGAAAGGTGATCGCAATAGAGTGAGATCGTCTTACCTTTTTCTTATTACATCAATGGCCGGGATCAAATTTAACGTAATGGTCCCAAACAACTGAATAATTTCTGCATATGATAAGATTTTTTTTTCTCTCTCTCTAATATGGATAGGGATGGTCAAAAAGGTGGAGAAGAAATGTTTGAAGAATAAAGCTATGGCAACCCTATTTGCATATACATGCATGGGCTAGGGCTTGAAAGATGACCAGAACTTCATCTTTTTACATCTGAAAATTCTTTTTTAGTTATTACACTGAGACTCCGTTAATTTTGAGGTATAATATTTTTATCAAAAATATTTTATTTATTTTTTGTTATTTGATTGAACAAAAAGTAAGTAAAGTATTTTTTAAGAAAAATATTTTTGTATCATGTTTTTAAAAATAATTTACCTTTAAAAATCCCATAAGTCAATTTTTACAAAGTTGACTCTTACTCATTACCTTTTTAACAAATTTAGCATTTTCAAATAATATCTTATCTCATTAAGAAGTCATAATGACATTTTATTAAATTAAAATTTCTCTTTTAGATAATAAAATATTTTTGTTTTAAGTGTTAACCAACGATTAAAAAGTAAAAATAAAAATATTTTTTCTGTCTAAAATTAATTTACAAAAAAAGTATTATTTTGTGTAAAATATTTTATAATAAAACAAACGGAGTCTGAAGGAACAACTCAATGCATGGAGCAATAGCATTTCGGAATTTTGGACCTTTTGGTGTGGTTCTTCTAGCATGCTAGTTCTTTTGGTATAAAATCTTACAATGGGCCCCATTAAATATTCATTCAAACTCATATTTTTTTATTTTTTCTGGTTAAAAAAAAAAAAACCATATTTATAATTTTGTTAGGCTCATCTCCATCAAACAATATGCCATGCACACCAGTTGAAATTTTCCAATGGTGCAGGTAATTTGGAAAGGTAAATATTAAAGTGGAGAATAAATTGTAAAAATTATGTGGGCCTCGCCACTGGCACAAGTGAACAGGTCTCTCTTCTCTCTCTATCCTATTACATGTTTCGTCTGTTAGGACCTGACATTATTATTAGAGTTAAATGGAAAAAAATTTAAGATTCAACAATCAATGGAAAAAAATTAGAAAAGCATTCAAAAGGCGATTATGCTTTGTGGTGCCTGTTGGGGGCTTTTCTTAAGTTTTTTTTTTGATAATTTAAATTGTTCATATTATAGAGTTTATTTAGTATATCATTCATGCAAAAAAAAAAAAAAAAAAAGAGTTAATCAAAAATTCATAACCTAATGATTAGATTATAATTATTTTTAAAAATTATCAAGATCATGTTAACTGTTTATTTTTAAAAAAATAAATATGTTCTTGTTACGCAGTTATAGATGTCCAATCAATTTAGTTTTTTGCATGATTTACCTGATAAATCCTATAATATGACTGTTCAGATTATCGAAAAAGATTAAGAAAAAGCCCCCAGGCTGTAACCGTAGTTACAGCAGGATCCCTTGTCCTTCAAAAGGTTAGAAGGAAATTTGAAGCTGTAAGTTATCCCTGATACTCCTGAAACTTTTCTGGCTCTTTCTTTTTTTTTAGATGGTTTTTCTGGCTCTTTCAAAATAGCAGAATAATTGTAAAAATTATTCTCTCTATATAATTCTCTGCTCTGTGCATATTTTAGTTTCCGATTCTCAAACTTATTCTTGATTATTATTTTCCTTTCCTTTTCCTTTTTATTTCCATACTCTGACTTGACTATAGGGAATTCCAAAATCTTGACTTCAAAATATTCTCCAGTATGAAGACGTCACTATATGTATGCAAGAATGTCATTAATTTAACTACTTTTTTTTTTCCCTTTTAATTGGTAGGAGATTATTTACAATATGAAGAAAATTAAATTCGGAGTTCTATGATGAAGAATAAATAAGTAACACAACAAAGAGTCACATAGTAATAGAGAAATTATCAATTTTTGCATTTAGCAAAAATTAACCCGTTGACTTTCCAAATAAATCTATCAACAATGATAGAGGGCCCTAATTTTTGTGGCTCAAATGGCTCGAATTTGCCAAAACGACGTCGTTTTGAGTACAAAACAACATCAAAATTGTCAAAACGACGTCATTTTGGCAAATTTGAGCCATTTGAGCAACAGAAATTAGGGGCCTCAAACATTTTCCTAAATCTATATAGGAATGACCAATTGAACTAGCCGTGTTGTTGCATTGTTTGGAATTCAAACACCTATTATGATTATGTATTCTAGTTTTATGTTGTTTTGTTCTATGTTTGCACATGAGTTGTTTGTTTTGAACAACAGATAAGATTATAAAACAGAGAGGAGTGGGTAAGCTTTCTTGAGGAGGAAAATGTCAAAAACTAGCATCTTTGAGAAAAATAGAATGACTCAGAAACAGCCTATTGCTAAGCACCAAAATCTTTTGCCTTGACTAGGCCTCATTTGGCAAGTGATTTTTTTAGTCAAAAAGTCATTAAAAAAATCAAAAAGCCAATAACTCATATCAAAAAGTCAAAGATTCTATTTTCTCCCTACTTTTTGGACATCTTTTTGTAAAAAGTCAAAAAGTCATCCCAAACATACTAGTTTTTTTTAGCTCATATTTTAGCCAAACAGTCAAAAAATTACTAAATTAGTATGTTTCCAAACGAGGCCTTGAAGCTCAACAAATGCTCAATGTCAATGTCATTTCAATGAGGTGTAATCCTCAACTAGAAACACTCCCAAACAAGACGTCTTTTTGTTTCCAAAACTCTTCACAATTATCATCAGATTTCTTATAGATATGCATAGGCATTTTTGGAACTGACAAAAACTACTCTCACAATGCAAGTTGGTATCATTTTCAGGGAGCAGACAGATTGAAATAGGTATATCCTCGTCATTTGATCTTGCTTTAGGCCGGCTAGATGCTATGACACAGTTTAAAAAGTATCTCTTTATATGCTTTTTGCTAGTCGATCGTACTACTTTTTTTTTTTTTTTTTTTTTTTTTTTAGGGGGGAAAAAAAAAAATTTTTTTTTTTTTTTTTTTTAAGAGGGAAAAACAAAAAAACCATGTCAAGGCTATTTTTTTTAGCATGGTTACCATACAATTTAATTTACATCATACGAATGTGATACAATCGTATAGTGTGATTTTTGTGTCTAGCGTGCTGAGTTTGACAATAGTATACTATATAGCACACTATTGGAGTTGCTTTGAGAGTTTGTTTATAAAAGAAAATGATAATTAAAATGGCTAAAATTTAAACTCAATCAAGTTGCATTTTGTATCTCACGTGACTGTTTTGGAATAAACAACATACAACAGCAGAGGGAATCAATCACTAGCTAGAAAAGTACAACAAAATTTACATAACAACAATGATTTAAACTACTAAAAAATACATCACTAATAGTATTAATGCATTGGGAATGGTAAAAAAAATAAAAAATAAAAAAAACAAGTCATAGAAAGTGGGCGGAACCCACAGTCACATCATTAGTGCTCTTTTTAGTACTCCCAAACATTTTTCATTTACATAATTTAACAAGATTGTTCATTATATTTATAAAAAGTAAGACTACAATAAGATTGTTTGTACAAATAATAATATATATAAAAATATATGGCCGTGAAATGTACATGTCTGCCACTTGCACATAAAGTTGGGAAGCTTCCCTTTCCTTGTCCCCGTGTAACTTTTATCTAATTGTCCAATCTTTTCATATCACCACTACTATATAAGGAGCCTTTGAAGTAACCACTTTTACATATCACTAGCAAGAAAGAAAGAAAAAAAATGGCTATCATTTCCCTGGAAAATAGACTAAACATCCAACCAAGCAAAACCCATCACCAACATGGAGTGGTTGTCGAAGAGATTGAAGGAATCATCAGAGTTTACAAAAACGGCTATGTCGAAAGACCTCCGATCATCCCCGATGTGCCATGTGAAGCGGTCAATCCTGAACTAAACGTCAGAATCAAAGACGTAGTCATCGATAAACACACTAACTTATGGGCTCGGCTTTATATATCAAGCCAGAACGGAAATTCGTTACCTCTTCTTATTTACTTCCACGGAGGAGGGTTTTGCGTTGGCTCAGCTTCTTGGAGCTGCTACCATGACTTCCTGGCAAATCTGGCTTCAAAAGCCAGTTGTGTGATCATGTCAGTAAATTACCGTTTAGCCCCTGAAAACCGCCTTCCTGCAGCTTATGAAGACGGGTTCAAAGCCGTCATGTGGATGAACCAACAATTGCTTAACAGGTCAGATCATGAGTTGAGCCGGTGCAGCTTGTCGAGCATGTTCTTAGCTGGCGACAGTGCTGGCGCCAACATAGCTCACAATGTTGCTTTACGGCTCGCCAGTTACTTTGGCACAACCGAATCCTGTAAGGGCACCATCCTGATCCAACCTTTCTTTGGAGGAGAGGCGCGGACAGAGTCAGAACGGAGTAGCGTACAGCCTGCTAACTCCGCTTTGACTCTGTCTGCTTGTGACACGTACTGGCGGTTGTCGCTTCCTGTGGGGGCGAACCGAGACCATGTTTGGTGCAACCCGCTTGCGAAGGGTGGGACCAAGTTGAGTGATTCAGGAGGTCCGATGGTGATGGTGTGTATATCGGAGATGGATATACTTAAGGATAGGAATTTGGAGTTGTGTGCCGCCATGGCTAGTGCAGGGAAAAGGGTGGAGAAAGTGGTTTACAAAGGGGTTGGCCATGCATTTCAAGTCCTCCATAACTCTCACCTCTCTCAACTTCGAACGCACGAAATGATGTCCCATCTCAAGGCTTTCATCAACCGATAGAATATATGGATTGATGATTTTGTTTTTTTGTTTTTTTTGGGGACGTATATATTTTGAAATGTAGATTTGAGAGAAGTTAGAGCTAGTTGTATTATGTTAAAATTTGGTTATTTTATTGTTATTATATCTATGTGAACAAATTACAAATAGTAATGCGGTTCATGATTTTTCATTAACATTTTTTATTACTAGATTAAAAATTTTGAGATTTAAATTAATAAATACATTTGAAACTCACACGTTTATGTCTAGTGAAAAAATAAATTAAAAATTCATTCACTTATCATTTTCTAATTATAAAACATATATTTATTTTTTCAAGGTTCATTTTTTTGTCAAGAAACCGGATTCTCATCCTTTTGTGAGGTCTTAAACAATAATACTATCTACTAAAAGAATAATATTATATGTACTAATTAATATATTAACCAATGTATCAATTGATAATGTGACATAATTTATGAAATTTTTGAAAATTGTAATGTAATTAACGAGTAGGGTCAATAATAATATCATAATCAGTGTTGATATACTAATTAGTGCATGTAACAATACCACTGCTAGAAATATCAATACATGATTTAAATTCATTTAGGACATTAACCCTAATAATATATGTGTGTATATATATATATTTAAATTCATGGATTAATAGACTTTCTAGATGCTAAAAAAAGTTGTGATGACATCGCTTTCAAAATAGGTGTATGGTATTGCTACTTTTGACCAAAGCATAAATGTATGTCTAATTAATATATTAATTAATGTATCAATTGATTATGTGACATAATTTATGAGATTTTTAAAAATTGTAATGTAATTAACGAGTAGGGTCAATAATAATATCATAATCAGTGTTGATATACTAATTAGTGCATGTAACAATACCACTGCTAGAAATATCAATACATGATTTAAATTCATTTAGGACATTAACCCTAATAATATATGTGTGTATATATATATATTTAAATTCATGGATTAATAGACTTTCTAGATGCTAAAAAAAGTTGTGATGACATCGCTTTCAAAATAGGTGTATGGTATTGCTACTTTTGACCAAAGCATAAATGTATGTCACCATTTGCTTTTGGAACTATACGGCTCATAGGAATGTGCTTCTCTCCACTTTAAAAAAGACTTGCATATCTCCAGACTCCAGTTCAATTTATTGAACTCACCACAGATTATTTTAACGGTTTCATTCATTCAAAATATAAATCTTTATATGTAATTATTTATAACAAAAAAATTAAATTTGTTACTTTTAGCAATACTCTTAATTTTCTAGGAACATAGTAATAGTCCTGATTTTGAGTCTAAAATTGGATTGGACCTCCAGTCTAGTTACTTGTTCACCTTCTAATTTATTATTAAAAAAATAAACGACAAGCATAACATAAATATGATAAAATCATATTAGAATTTCCTTTTTATAAATAATTTAAGCATATAGATCTAAAAAATAAACTAAATCAATAATTAAAATTGGCGAGATGAAAGCATCACAAGACTAAATTAGACTGTCTAGACCACATAATTAACTGAAATAAGCCCAATTCTATAAAATATACTTTACAATTAACTTGGTACTTTAAATAAGATCTGAATTACCAATTATAGCCAAAACTAATAGTAATGGTTGGTTAAAAAATGAGTAAATTATATTTTGCTGTTTTATGTTTAATTATTTTTTTACTTGACTTTTTAAGTTTTTTTTTTTTTTTTCACCTTAATTCTTCCTATTTTAATTTGTGAGAAAAAAATTTCAAGGCAGAAGTGAAAAAATAATTAAACATGAAGGAGATAAAAGGAGGAATTCTATTTCCACACGTCAAATTATCTCAGCCCACACAAATTTTTTTTATATTACATTTTTGTCCTAAAATAAAAATATCAAAATACCCTTTTCTTTCCAACAGAAACCCTAAGTCTCGTCGTTGAAATTTCAAGCATTTTGGGCTGCCGATACTGATATTCATCAATATGTCGTCAAATATCATGAAAGTTCAGTTGAAACTCAAAGAACTAAAAATGTAAACTTCCTTTTCTAACAGAAAATAAATTGATGGCTGAGAGATTTTCCTACTTGACATTACCGACATGGCGTGCTCTCTCTCTTCTGTCATCATCTTGGAAGAACAACTCTTGGTTTTCGTCCTCTGATCTCTCCTTAAGATGTAGCGCGGCGCTTCGTGAGCTCATTGCAGAAAACCGCGCAGCCATCCTAGCCCGGCAGCTAGTCCTAGAGCGGGACTGGCACCGTGGGTCCCATGACACAATGGATGATGTGAACGCCACCCAACTAGCCGGAAACCCTTTTCTTTCCAACAGAAACCCTAATGCTGTGTTTGGTTGAAGAATTTGAAGAGGGATTTAGAAAGGGAAAGGGAAAAGTTTGGTGAAATGTGAATAAAACATACTTACATTTCACCTAGTTTCACACACCTTTTCCCTTTCCCTTTCTAAATCTCTCCCCAAATCCCTCAACCAAACACAACATAAGTTTCGTCGTTGAAATTTCAAGCATTTTGGGCTGCCGATACTGATATTCATCAATATGTCGTCAAATATCATGAAAGTTCAGTTGAAACTCAAAGAACTAAAAATGTAAACTTCCTTTTCTAACAGAAAATAAATTGATGGCTGAGAGATTTTCCTACTTGACATTACCGACATGGCGTGCTCTCTCTCTTCTGTCATCATCTTGGAAGAACAATTCTTGGTTTTCATCCTCTGATCTCTCTTTAAGATGTAGCGCTGCGCTTCGTGAGCTCATTGCAGAAAACCGCGCAACCATCCTTGCCGGGCAGCTAGTCCTAGAGCGGGACTGGCACTGTGGTTCCCATGACACAATGGATGATGTGAATGCTACCCAACTAGCCGGAACCAATCCACCGCAACTCAACTGCCATAGCTAACCTCCTCTTTCATCTCTTCTTCTTCTTCTCTTTAAACCCTAGACTTGGATTTTCTAGATCTTTTCTCTGTCAGTAATGGTTGTCGGGACTGTTATCAGTCATCAGCAATATAAATTGGGCTGCGACGGTAGTCGGAGGTGGTGGTTTGGGACAGTAGGAGGTACAGAGATTGGCGGTAATAGTGGTGTGAAGGAGGGAGATTAGGACATTTTTGGTATAATAAAGTTGTGTATTGAGTAAAAAATGAGATTTCAAATTTATTAAGTGTATGCACTTAGAAATAATGTACATAGAAAAGATTTGATGTGTGAAAATAAAATTTTCCGAGATAAAGTCTAATTTATCAAAAAAAAAAAAAATCTTAATACTGTGTTTGGTTAAGGGATTTAAAAAGAGATTCGAAAATGAAAATGGAAAAAGTGTGTAAAATTAAATGGAATATAAGTATATTTTATTTATATTGCACCTCTATTTTTCCTTTTCCTTCTTAAATTTCTTTTCAAATTCTCTAATCAAATTTCTTTTCAAATCTTCTAATCAAACACAACGAAAATAATTTTTCTATTTTCGGCCGAGATATCGGTTTTATGAGTTCCGATAAGTTATTGGGATTTCTCTATCCTAGTATTCCACTTCTTCTTATCCTATATTCCCACAGCGAAAAACTCTAGTGTCACAAAACGATCAAACAAACAAACATGCCTCCGAGTCCCATGTAATGGAAGACACTCTCTCTCTACAAATTTCTCTCTAGAGATTCGAAGATGCTTTCAATGGCAATCCAACCGAGTGCGAGTGGGGCTTTCAAACCCTATGCATTTACATATCCCAGTCTGAAGCTAGTTGCAAAAATACCCTTCCAAAATTTAATCTTTGCAAGGCCAAATCCCATTTCCTTTCAGTCTCCTACGCTTTCTGAGCTCAAATTCAATGGCGGACCGACAAGGAAGATTAGGGCATTTTTGGTATAATAAAGTTGTGTATTGAATAAAAAATGAAATTTCAAATTCATTAAGTGTGTGCACTTAGAAATAATGTACATAGAGAAAATTTGATGTGTGAAAATAAAATTTTCCAAGATAAAGTGTAATTTATCCAAAAAAAAAAAAAAAATCTTAATACTGTGTTTTGGTTAAGGAATTTGAAAAGAGATTCGAAAACGAAAATGAAAAAAGTATGTGAAGAATATAAGTATATTTTATTTATATTGCACCTCTATTTTTCCATTTTCTTCTTAAATTTCTTTTCAAATCCTCTAATCAAATTTCTTTTCAAATCTTCTAATCAAAGGCAAAGAAAATAATTTTTCTATTTTCGGCCGAGATATCGGTTTTATGAGTTCCGATAAGTTATTGGGATTTCTCTATCCTAGTATTCCACTTCTTCTTATCCTATATTCCCACAGCGAAAAACTCTAGTGTCACAGAACGATCAAACAAACAAACATGCCTCCGAATCCCATGTAATGTAAGACACTCTCTCTCTACAAATTTCTCTCTAGAGATTCGAAGATGCTTTCAATGGCAATCCAACCGAGTGCGAGTGGGGCTTTCAAACCCTATGCATTTACATATCCCAGTCTGAAGCTAGTTGCAAAAATACCCTTCCAAAATTTAATCTTTGCAAGGCCAAATCCCATTTCCTTTCAGTCTCCTACGCTTTCTGAGCTCAAATTCAATGGCGGACCGACAAAATTGAAGCTCTCTGCTTCTTCTTCGGCTCTCGCTGTCGATTCACTTGCAGTCGCAGTCGCAGAAGAAACGCCCACACCCACTGAGGTTCTCTCTCTCTCCCTCTCTCTGTCTTACACATACAGAAATTCTACGACTTTCATATATTGGGTTAACAGGGATTTGTCATTTATAGCTGAGTTCTGTTATTTCCTGAATTTTCTGTATGCTTCTTGGAGTAGTCTCAATTTGGTAAGTTGTTTTACCATCAATTTTCTCTCTCATACATTTCTTGTAATGGATATATGCCTACATAAAAAATACAAAAAATAAAACTTTAAAAATTGTTGAAATTTGTTCCATCTTGGTTGGGAGGGAAATGATTTACAAACAATATTTTTCATACACAACAAAACTCTTCCCAAATGATTTGGCAGTGAAAAATTTGAAATTATGAGCCAAAATAGTGAATGTTTTAATTTGAAATAAAATGAGCACAAGAGGCCACACACACATTATTATGTACGAAAATTCTCTACAAAAATTCTGTTTGTTTTTAATATCATTCAGGAGTTATGAATTTTATAATTCCTCTCTCTCATGCACGCATTTAGGTTCCTTTTTTGGATAAATTGGTTTCAAAGTAGGGGACTTGAGGTTATAAAAAAAAAAAAGAAAAAAAAGTGTAGTAGAATTGATGATTATTGATAGATTGAGAAACTTAAGAGGAAGATAGAGTAGACTAAGAAGAGGAGACCTGTTTTGTTATGTTATGGTCTTAAAACTTTTATATTGTTATTTCTTATTTGTCATGGTACAGCTCAAAATTTCCATCTTGAAATTCATATCTACATTTGTCACTACAATCTAAATTTGACTTATTCTCCTTGAATGATCAGTGCTCAAATCGTTTCATTTCAAATCCATAAATCCAAACACAATTTTGTTTTTTCTTCCCATTGCATATCCAAATTTTAAACTTCTTTTCAATAGTTGATTATTGATTATGTGCATTTCTTCAATTTGTAGAAGCTTGGAGTAGTTGTGAAGACAACGCAGAAACCAAAGCTTGTGTTGAAGTTCCTTTGGATGGAGAAGAACATTGGTCTTGCACTCGACCATGTGATTCCAGGCCACGGCACAATTCCTCTTAGCCCCTATTACTTTTGGCCTAGGAAAGATGCTTGGGAAGAGCTCAAAGTGCTGCTTGAGAGCAAGCCCTGGATATCTCAGAAGCAGATGATTATTCTCCTTAATCAAGCCACCGATATCATCAATTTGTGGCAACAAAGCGGTGGAGATTTATTGTAAGGCTTCCAATTTTTTTCTTGCATTACTCTTCTTTTGACATGCTTGAACTTCTCAGGTCAGATTTAAATGAAATATGTATTTTATTTACTTATCTGTTGACATGAATTTTGAGATCACCTTGGTTTGATGGAATTCAATTATTTGGAAGTCATCAAAACTTTGTTTCTTCACAATTATATGATTTTATGTATTGAATTATAGTGCTTGCCTACAAATTGTTTGGAGATGGTGTTGCTTCTGTTTTCATGTTCTTCCAAAAACACAATACTTCTCCATTATATTAAGTGCCAACCTCGGAAACTTCCAATCATCACAAGCTTGAATTCACACTCAATGACATTTACAAGGTCATAGATCATATGTGGCAATACAGTAACACAACGAAAGTCAAGCCATGCACAAAAAACAGTTGAACTGCGCACACAGAATACTTACATAAAAACCAATCACAGAATTAGACACAGAACACTCATAGGGCCCGTGTGAGTGTTGTGTTCAGTTTCTGTGTTCCTAGCATTAATTCACTAGGAATGCTTCATAACCAAACCTCTCTTTTGCAAACCTCAAAACCTAATTGTTTTTCTAGTCCTAACTGATATTGGCCTCCTGCCTCTGTTTGAATGCTGTGGATGCAATTTCTCTGCCAAATCCAAGGATTGTGTGCTAACCAATGGCTCAGGTTGAGTTTTCCAATCGATCCGTTTCTTAGATTGATTGTTCACCTTATCTCCATTCTCATCTGAGCCAGCTTCATCTTTTCCTCCATTCCCATCACCGGTTTTTGACAGCTCATCCAAGAACAAGCTACATTTCCTCTCAAAATCCCTGTGATCTAGCCACCGGGTTGTATTGTCTTCATCAAAACCAATTTCCTTTTCACCATCAGTAGTACACTCATCAAAATCTGAACTCGATGAACTCTTTTTCATTTCTGCTTTCAATTGGCTGTGGCTCCTATAGAATCTGTACTGATTGTCTTTCATTTCTCTGCTTTTTGAAGCTGTATTTTGATTCATTCCAGACATGGGTTTTGAACATCCAACAGGACTGATTTGACTTCTCTGATTTTCGGGTTCTTTTTCATGCAGTTTGAAGCTAGCGAGTTCCATGGCAGCTTTGGCAGCTGCTGCTGCATTAGCAGCCAGTTCGAATGCCGCTTCAGCTGCTTTTGTTACATCTTTGTACTTGTTCCTTTCTTTCATGATGCTAGTGCATTTCTCATCACTTTCTAGCCCTTTTGCCAAATTTTGGGGATCATCTTTGCACTCAGGGTTATCAAAATTAGTTGGTTCTTTGAATTTCTGGAAAACACAAAAAATTGTTAGGCAAACTGTTTTTTTTTTTTTTTTTTTTTTTTTTTTTGGGGGGCAAATTTTCCTAAAAGCTCACTTGTCTTTTAAAAAACATGAAAATTTATTTTCAATGATTAGTCCAACCCCAATATCTTGATTTCGAGTGACAATGCATTACCTGGTCTCATCTCTCACGTTGTCTAAATTAATTAATGGAAACTAGGATTTATTATTTTTTTATTTTATTTTTTTATTATTATTTTTTAAATTTTTACAAAAGAAATGCAACAATATTAAAAGATTGGGGACCAAAATACAAAAAAAAGCACGTACTTTAGGGACTACATGTGTATTTGGTTAATTTTGTTTTGTTGAAGTTTTATGTAAAGTTCCGAAATTAACCTGTTTTCCATTTAAACTCATATTTTATAATTTAGGGATTAAATTGACAAAATGAAAATATTGAAGAAGACTAAAGCGAAACAAAACATACATAATTTGAGAATCATTAGTGTAATGAGCTTTTTTATTTTTTTTATTTTATTTATTTTAAAGGGCAAAAAAAAAAAAAAAAAAAAAACCTGGAACACAACCAAGCAATATTTGTCCGACGTGTTGCTAATTTCCTTACCTGAGAAACCCCAGAAGTCTCTCTTTCAAGCTGTAGCTTGATTCCGTTTTCAGAAGCGATTTCCTTGAGCAATTTCAATCTGGATTTCATGCTTGGATGGCGCAGAGGAAGCTTCTTTACAATCTGCGAAACCCCACCATTACCAAAACTGTTACTTCCAAAAAAAAGTGTTTTTGAAAAAATTGCAGAGCCCAAAACAAAAGATGAGAAATTTCTCATCACTTTCTAGCCCTTTTGTCAAATTGCGGGAATCAATCATCTTTGTTTGTTTTTTTAACAGAAAACAAGAAACTGACAATTTATCAAACGACACGTTACTATGCTTGTCTAGTCTAGTATAATATACCTTAGGATGGACTCCACAGTTGTTGCGGAGTTCAACAGCAGAAGCGGCAAATTCCTTGCCAAACTTGGAACTGAAAACGCCACGAATCTTTTGGAGCTCAGGGACTTGTCCTCCACATCTCGAAGCTGCAAATATCAAGCTCGATATTGCCTCCTTCACTTCTTCTGGACATGTTCTATATATGTATATATGCACATAGATAAATTAATTCGAACCATCTGATTTCGCTAGGGACTAAAAAAAAAGATTTCCGTGGAGATTATAAAGTAATAAAATATGAACTTGAAAGAAAATGTGAAAAAAAACCAACTTGCTGTTTTGAATGAGCATGATCCTTTCTACCAGCAGATGGCAATGGCCTTCTATAATAGCAAATGCATCCAACAAATTTTGCTCCCTAATCACATGGCCAACCTGTTACAAATAATTAAAATAAAAAATAAAAAATAAAAAAACTGAGCCATTGATAGACAAAATATTAGATATAACATATGTATATAGAGAAATAAGGTTTACAAAGCAATATCAAGATACAAATTAATATCAGTCGTAGAATAGCAGTATCGGAACTATTGAGCAATACATATTTTATAGTCACTGAATCAACCGTATCGGTTATTGTGTGTATCATGAATTGGCCAATATGCATATAAATATCGACAAATATTTAAAACCTTGACATAGAGAGAGGGAGAGGGAGAGGGAGAGGGCGAGGGAGAGAGTAAAAAGGTGAGAATAATACGCGAAGGAGAGCGCTTTCATGGTGATCAAGGGTGAGGAGCTGAACGACGTCTGATCGAGCTTGGGAACATCGGACATGGAGCTTGTTCTTAAGGAAGGCAATCCGATAAACAGCAACATTCACTATGGTTTTGAATTTGGAGACGTTGAATGATTTTCCAAGCAATGTATCCCATTTCTTGCCCATAGATTCTTGGTGTTATTGCAAGATGTACGAATAGGCTAAAAAATAACTTATTGAGGAATCTGAGAATTTAGCAGATATCAAATATAGATGAGTAAATATATTGATTCATTTATGCAATATAAATAGAGCATTGATGATGTTAGTTGGAATGTACAAATCACAAACACTTTCCATAAGTTGCAATGTGCCGATCACAATACACGTAATTTCCAACGAAGTACGTCATCGAATTGTTCATTTGCCACGTACTTACGTGTGTTTAAAAAATGAATAATGCTAAAGATACCAAATTTCTTACCAAATAAATAATCAAATGTCTTACATGAGTGTGGGTTCCACAAATGTGTGGGGTCGACATTTGATCATTTATTTAGTAGAAAATTCAGAACCTATAATATTTTCCTAAAAAAATTATCAAAAAAATTTCCACAAGTTTAACGTGGGTGTGGCACACGTGTATCTGTAGACACCCCATTTTTGACCGTCCTCAAGACTTGGACGTCACCGTTTGAACACACGGTGATCCTCCATGTTTGTGTTCGTTTGGAGTTCCCGGAGGTCTCGACTCGCGCGCCTTGCCTTAGGATCCCCGAACTCGACCGTTTAGTGTCTGGTTTTGCACCAAACACTTACATCTTGCTTAATTTCCAACGAAGTACGTCATCAAATTGTTCATTTGCCACGTACTCACGTGTGTTTAAAAAATGAATAATGCTAGAGATACTAAATTTCTTACCAAATAAATGATCAAATGTTGTGTGGGTTTCACAAAAGCGTGGGGTCAACATATGGTCATTTATTTAGTAGAAAATTCGGAACTCATAACATCTTCCTAAAAAAATTTCCACAAGTTTAACGTGGGTGTGGGACACGTGTATTGTGCAGATTTTACGATAATTTTTTTTAAAGTCTATATAGCATTTTTTATACTCTTTTTGGATCTGTAATTTTTTGTTTCAAATAAGATTATATTGATAATTAAATCATTAGAATTAAACTTATGTTTTAATGTGCTTTTCTCGACATTTGGAGTTTAAATTTTGAGTCAAATTTAAAATATGATAGATATCAAAGTAGAATTTTATGTAAAAATTGAAAGGGTAAAAATGTCATTTACCCTATAATTTTTTCCCCTCTTTTTACTACACTTTAATTGTCACATAACTCACACTTTAATTGTGCTCACATAACTCTTGCGGAAGCACTTTCCATCCAAATGTCTAACTATATGTAAGTGACCAAAAAAAAGGGCATATTAAAACACAAGTTTAATATAATATTTAAAATTAAAATTTAAGAAAAACCTGCAGATGAAAAAAAATTAATATACAAATAAATAAATATTTATAAGAAAAAGAAAAATGAAAAAGAAAAAACATTATGAAAAATATTTCATGAAAATGATCATGAAAATTTTTTGACCCTTAGATTAGATATACAATAAGTTATAAAGTGTAATACAAAGATAAAGATTCGTTCATGATAATTTTCATGAAATATTTTTCATGATACGTAGTATTTTCTAAAAAGAAAGAGAAAATGCAGCGAAAATGGCGCAATGTATAATATAACATGATACACACGTATATATATATATATATTTTAATGATCAAATATTCGGATCAATTTACACACATTCCGATTAATTCTGAACATTCGCGCCATGTGAATCGAACAAACCTCGCATTGATATCCAATTTATACATATCATCATCACCATTAATCCATCACCAATTTTTGCTCTGATAAAAAGGATAATACCCACATTCTTTTTCAGGTATATCGGAAATAATACCCACATCATCGTAAATGTAGCGAGTGGATATGCACCCCAAGACTTTTGCAAGCCAAAAGGGACGTACCACTCCCTTTTTTTCTTTTTGAAAAATTACGCATAAATAGATTCCTACAAAATTAATTGCATATTGGTAAACTTTATTAATATTAATTATTAAAATCACAAGTTTTTCAACAAATATATAATTATTTTTCTAAAAGTACACTCAATGGTATTCATGTCATTTTCCTTTTTCCGTTAATTTTTTTTTTCAAAAAGTTAGGAAAAAAAAAAATCAAAAAAGTGTTTCATAAAAGTGAGGTGTTTTCCCTACCAAAAAAAATTAAAGCCTTTGTTGAAAAACAATTTGGCTTTCCCCTTCAAATTTATACAAATTTCTTTTTCAACTTCCATTTTTCCTGCACTAGAGAAAACAAAAAACGATACCAAACGCGCACCAATCTTTTGCAATTGCATCAAAAACGCAAATCAGAAAGATGGAGAAATCAAAAAGAAACCAGGCCAAGGGGTGGCGAAGAAATCACAATTATCATATTCCAACATGAATTTATGTTTATGAGAGAGAGTCTTCTAATTCAAAGAAAATAATAAAAATGCTTATGATGATGTATAAGAGGGCATGATTGTCTACACTCTACTCCAGATTATCTGAATTACAACTATTTTTTTTTTTTGGGGGGGGTGGTCAAGAGTACACTCTGAATGAGAAAACGAAACTGGGCGAACATGACTAACAAAAAGTCTTAAAATAAGCAAGGAGAAATGACTAGGAAATAGGAAAGAACCACTTTGTATTTCGATCCACGTCAATCCTCGAACTCATGCATGTGATCTAATAGATAGTTTGCCGCGAGCTCTTCATTCTTGTTGCATGCAAAAAATACTTCCAATACTATAGCTCGATCAAAACCCATCGCTTCAAGCTGCCAAATTCACATTTTTGAAAATAATCAAAGCCATATATCAGAATAATGCACACTTGCAAAAGCAATAAAATTTCAAATATATAACATAATTACCACAAGTTCTACATTTTTGTAACAAGATCATAAAAGCACGAGGTAAAGAGACTCCAATACAAAAGTTGTAAAATCAATTCACCTAGTCATCCAGCAGATATAGGTTCTATTATTCCAAGACAAATTTTTCCCCATAAGAAAATGTCAAGAAAAACTACATGCAAGGGTAGAGGTTCCAGAAGTTTCATGCATTTATATCCGAAGATTCTATATTCCATATACAACGAATGAAAAGACTTGAGAATGTATTTCATCATACCATGGAGTTCGAATTATTGTAAAGTAGCATTAAGAAACAAAATCAATGAAAATCACTGGCACAATCAAGCAATAAGAAAAACCAGCAAAACTAATCTATGGAATCAATTTATTTATTGTAGGTTTCACTTTTCCAGTGACATGACTTGTCAAAATATATTTTTTAAATGGGTATATTAGAAGTCATTAAAAGGGCACATTATGTAGATTTATGTTTACAAGGCAAAGCCTCCAAGTTCTCCACAAATCCAACTCTACAGTGAGCTCAAAATTATGCTCGCTTCATAAGTAAACTGTTCAATATCCTCAGAGGGATGAAAACTTCACACCCCCAAACTAAAAATAAAAAAACTCCAAAAATAGCAACAAAAATGAGGTAATGAGCTTCCGTCCATACAAAAATACATGACCTCAGAAAGACTACACTACAGTGCTCTAAATCCCTTTCCAAAGAAAAGAGGGGTCATAAGTAGCCATTAATATCCTCTAAAAGGTGATTCAATTTCAAACCTCCCTACTTCAAGGCAACCCCCACCAAATCCATCCACCAGACCTTCCGTACCATCCACCTCATTACACCAAAATTGACATATCTGCAGAATGCACCCCACCATTCACAATGCCTGTCCATATGCTACACCCACAAGGAATGTTCTTCGTACCATTCCCTTCCATGCACACAATGCTAAAACTTGCCTCCAAATATTATCGCTGTCCTATGCCAATCACGAAAATTAGAGTTACTTAATTAAACATAGAAAGCAATCACATCCTCAAACCACCCATCTCTTTCAATAGAAATAGTGAGCACCTAGTCCATCATTTCATGTAATTGACAGTAAACAGAACTGGAATCAATAGATTGTTATCACCGTATCAATTTACACAAATGAGGGGGACTAAACTTACACGTTCAACAGCCTCACGCCCTTCCGGCGTGACAGTCACAGCCTGTGGCATTGCTCCAGCCAGTTGCCCCAGTATGTTCCTGATTCCAAACATATAGGAAACTCAGCATCTAAGAAGCATGGACACTTCTAAAAAGGTGACGTATCCGTGTTGTGTCCGTGTCGGACACCGACACTCCTTGGACACTCTTAGGACACGTGTCCGATACTCTTCAAAACATGTCCTATTTTTTAAATATTTTTAAAGACCCGGACACTCTTTGGACACTTGGAGGACACACGTGTCAATTGTTTAAACACATATGTCTATTGATTATACATATGTGAAACTAATTATAAGTTTGAACAAAACAACTTAAGATACAATAATAAAACAAAAATCATATAAATTTATAGGAAGTAGTGCTATATTGCATTTTTTATTATTTTTGAATGATATATTCATATATATAGCATATAATAAATATATAAAATTATATATTTCATGCGTGTCCTCTACGTGTCGTGTCCTGCATTTTTTTAAAATTAACGTGTCGGCGTGTCCTTGTCGTATTCGTGTCGTGTCACGTGTCCGTGTCCATGCTTCTTAGCTCAGCATCAAACATAAAGCTCAGTTAGAAAAAAGAAGATAATTCCATATTACATCTACTATCCAACTTCAAATCTGTACACACACACACACAAAAAAATAAAAAATAAAAAATGACACCACAACAGAACAGATGCTATCTCACCCCTCCCCCCCTTCAACAGGTTCATTGATCAAGCGTAGAAAGTCTGCTTGATGCTCCTGAATGAGCCGCATCAAGTGTGGGTTTTGCTTTCCCAGCTCCTGAAGCATCGGCTGCAATTAACAAAGAATGTCACAAATCTCTGAGAACAAAGAGGTAGGCTAACAACAACAACAATAATAAAAAATAGCTGAAAACAAAAGCGCAGATAAGAATGACAAATAGTACCTGCAAGATTTGAGGGTTGGCTTGCACCATAGCTCGCAAAGCTTGGAACTAAATGTCAAAATCCATAATTAGAAATCTGAGGTCATTTTTAATAAAGAAAACTTGTAGAAATATATTTACCTGTTGACTGTTGCGCAGAAAATCCAAATTGCCAGCACTTGCATTTGAACCCACAGTTGGAAGGCCCTGGTTCAAAAAATATATTCTATAACAAAGTTCTATAGGAAACAAAGCATCACGGGTTAAAGACGACCTACCTGTGGAAAAAGATCAAGGGGATTTGCATTGGGTCCACTGGAAGGCACTGCTGGCTGTGGAGCCTGGGGTGGAGGGTTCACAGCCTGCCCACTTGCTGGAGCTTGAGCCACGGGTGGAACTTCAGCTTGCTGAGGGATACCCTGACAAAATTATTTTCCCCCAGGTTAGAGAGATGATGCAACTAAGATTGAAGCACAACAATAGCGATACAGTGACTTTGGTATAAAATGAACAGGTGATAAAAAATATTCCACAAACTATCGTTGTTGTGTTCCATCTCGGTGCTTCACGTTTTAAGTTAAGGAAACCAAAGGGACAAAAAAGGAACTAACAAAGCAAGCTACATACATAGCCAAAATTGCATATCACAAATTCTGGAATATAAAGAGGGGTGAGTAACATTGAACACAAACTCTGTTCCTTAGTCCTGTAATGACTTCCCCAACCAATTGTGTTAAACAACCTATTGACAGAATCAAGGAAAGCAATTTCCATCTGAGCCTAAATTAGATTAAATTCTGGGTCGAACATTTAAGATACAGGTGCCAAGAAGCAAGAGTGGACTCACTGAATACAGATATTCAACAGCTCTCTCCGGGTTGTTATAAGCAGCACGTAAAGCACGGACAACCATATCCTGATCCCAACTCCCACCACCCATATCAAGAATTTGTTGAACAGTAGCCTCTAAGTTACTTCCAGCAACAAGATTCGATGCTGCTTGGCCATAAACATCTGATTCTGATCTGCTTCAGCAAAAAAGGTTTTAAGAGAGAGAGAGAGAGAGAGAGAGATAGAGAGAGAGAGCAGATAAAAATATACGTAGGATCTCATGGTCTTTAACAGTCAAATATGTGTATAGCTGCAGAAGCAATTACTCACGAGGTAAGAGCAGCAGCAGCAGCGGGAGCGGGAGCGGGAGCAACAGGAGTAGATTCAGGGGCAGATAGTGGACTGCACAGATGAAACAAATGGGAAAAAGATGAGCCAACCTGGTAAAGTTCATTTTCAAACAATTCAACAAGACATTATGAAGTTTAACTCACATTCCTACAGTTGATGCAGGAGCTTGAGATGCTGTTAATGGCTGTGATGGAGCCAAAGGAGTAGCAGGTTGGGCCTACAAAGTGAAGCCTCTCCATTAGCACTTCATGTAACAAGTCATCAATAAAATGATTCAGATCAAATGATTCAAGATTAACAATCATTCCCCCCCCCCCCCACACAAATGATTAAGTAGATGTGGGCCAAGGTTTGGGTGGGCGGGTTATAAATGGGTTGGGTTGGGTTTTTAATTATCTATTTACCTAGTTATTACTCATTTAGCTAAATGATTATAACCCATACCCAACACAACCCATATTTATTAAGTTTGATTGTAGGATTGTTTTATCTATTAATTAATTTTGGTTCCCATTAAACAAGAAAAATTCATTTGATTAGATATTTTTTTTTTCTAAAATGTCAGAATGGATTACTAAAATACAAGATTATATTTTGTTAACATTTAGCACTGCAAAAGAAGTTCCAGATTTTAGAGAATGATTTCTTAGAATATCTTTGCCAATTATTCATTACTAAAACAACTCAACAATAGTATATTCATATGGAATTACATTTGCTAAAGGAGAAACATTCATCCTAGCAGTTGCCAGTGCACAGCCCTGAGCAGTTAAACCCCCCCTCTAAATTTTGCATACATATTTTATTTAGCCTGCACTGAAGTTTCCTCATCCTCAGGACAAAATCAAAGACAAGTCAGGAACATGGCTTCACTACTACTATCACTCCAAAACAAGAAAATGATCCAAGGAAACAAATAGCCATAATGGGAATGGGCATTGTCTCAGTGCTTGGTAATGATGTTAACACATTATCTGACAACAATGAAAAGTCCCTAGAAGTGGTAGGAATGGTGGCTTTAGAAATTTTTCTCAGAGTAGTCATTTAAATACTACAGTCAAACTCAAAACATTTGTTCGCAGTATGGATAATCAAAATAATCTCTCACTAGAGAAACACAAAGATCAGCAAGCATTTTAAACGGGCAACTCAGGTGGAAAGACTTCAGAAGATTAAAAAAAAAAAAAAATTTAAATGCATTTCAGTGTATCAAAAACCAATAGAGAAAACACAACTTAATCATATTTTTTTTTTGAAGTAGAGTGTACCTGTTATACAAAGGTTGTTCAAAATTTTGGTGAAATTGGTACTCAGTCTTTATACCAACAAACCATGGGTGTTCATACTACCAGGATGTTCAAATATTTTTTTCTTAGACAAAAATTAACAGTCTAAGATATATATATATATATATATATATATATGTGCCATTCAAGTGAACACCCTGAGCACAATATGAGGCGCCACTCCTGAGTGGTAGTGATGGAAGTGCTGGCAGATGTGGTGGCTATGGGGGTGGTGGGGCAATGGCGGCGGCAGAGAAGTGGTTGTGGTAAGGTAAGCGGTGGTGGTTGCGTAGTTGGGCTGACTCAAAGAACAAAAAATAAATATGTTGGGTTGGGTTATCTAATGGATAATTATTAGGTAGTTTAGTACTTACCCACCATGTAAGATTCAATTTTTATTTTTTACTTTTTTGATAAACACCATGTAAGATTCATTTTAAATAGGTATAAGTGGGTCATGATTCATTTAAATTTCTAATGAGATGGGTTTTTACTTACCCTTCTCTTTCTCTTGGAGGTGTCTAGCATGCACAGTTTACCAAACGAAAAAAAATCAAATTTGTACTTTCTACTACAAGTATAATGTATAACTTCAAACTCTCGTGGAATCTACAAGCCCAATCAGAAAATGTAGGCAATATTCAGAGCGATGAAACACCCAAAGCGAAAGCTCCATTGTAAGCAAGGCACACCTTCAGTGCATTAATAAACACCATAGTCAGGTACTCCACGAACAGCACGCTAATGGAGAGCACATGAATGAATTTTATTTCACCCAAATAATGATTTTTACCTGAGTTGAAGGTGCAGATGTAGTTGAGGCCCCACCTGATGCCTTGCTCTGTTTCAGCATGCATGGAGAATCAACATCAAAATAAAAAAACATGCTACATTACAAATGCTAGGTTAACATCTACATTACCCACCATTTGGAAGAGAGAAAAAAAAAACAAAAAAAAAACAAAAAAAAAAACAAGTACCTAAGAATGGAACCCAATAAGTACTACTCGACTAGATATAGACTACAAGATACTAACTTTCTACCTATTAATACAATTTTTTTTTTTGTTCAAATGCAAAAACTCCACTTTCTTACATGCCTACCTATTCCTAGAATCATGAACACAAATGATTAAGTAGATGTGGGTGATGCTCCGCGCATATAACCAAACTCACTTTACTTAACATGATGACAACGAAACTATTTTCAGCAACTTTGTTTTCCTCCAGTGTTGTTGCATCCTTGAGAACTTTACCCTGATGGATGAGCATCTGTTGTGCAGCAGGGTAAACGTCTAACCCCTGAACTTCCTCTATATTTTTCTTCACATCAGCAACCTGAATAAACCATCAACAACGTCAACTTGCACATTGCCAACAATTATAACTTAACAATAGAGAGAGAGAGAGAGAGAGGTTGATGGATGGTGGTGGTAGTAGTTGTAGTAGAAGAATAAGCGAAGGAACCATTGAGGAGAGGTGCCTTTAAGTATTTTCAGCTCATCCTCAGAGATTAGTAATGGTGAAATTTTCATGATATCCATACACTTGAAGCATGCATATGCGGATCACATGTGTGCAAGTAAAAGGAAAGGTCCTAAATGATATTTTTCATACAATTACAGAGGTTCAATAATCCCCTACATGAGTGAATAACTCAAAAGCAGCACAATCTTCCATTTATTCAAATAAAAACTAGCAATCCATCGACAAATTAACCAAACTTCTCCATCATCAGAGGCAAATGAAGTAAGTCCAAGTGAAGTCACTAAGCTACAAGAAGAGCAAATGAAATGTGTTCTAGTGCAGTCACTAACCTACAAGGTTCCAATAGTATAGCTTCTTTATTTTGTCATAAGTTCAACAGTAAAGTAGTAATAATAACAACAAAACAATATCAAATCAATTAATAACAAAATCAGACAACTGACACAGGTATGATTATGCATATCAGAGCTGTAGAAGATAACTGAATTCTCACCACTAAGAATCCAAAATTCTATTTGGTTTAGCCTAACTAACTATATCATGGCATCAACTGGCTTACCTTTAGTTTATCTCTCATACATATTGCAATATTCCCATAAATTCCAGCAAAATATATCAAGTTAAAATGTCATAGAATAGCCAAGTAGCACAATGGATAGGAAAATATATTTCCGTAAATTCCATCAAAATATATCCCATAAATTCCAGTTATGGGGTTGGTTCATAATGGGTAGGAAAAGGCATATTGAATCACGATTACAATTCCTATCAATTTGACATATTCAGTTATCTAAAAGACCAGAACTTTGTAAAAATCAAACTTTTATGTAAGACCAAAAGGAGCTGCCATACAAACCCGCATTCAAAGTTCTCAAAATTCTGGTTTGTCAAGATGGGCAATAGCTAGAATTAATTTAGCAATAGGAGCATATTAAAAACAACCAAATTTCAGTAAATTATATCGAAACTCTGGAATAATCCAAAAAACAAATCTATCTTTTCCAAACAAACTAGGAGGGAAAAAGAGAAGAAGCATATAACCACATTCCCATTCAATTTCCGAATATCCCATCGTCTTCTATTGATAGGCATTCTCCTACTATAAACTAGGAGCCAAAACAAAACAAAAACACAAAGTCACCCAAAAATAAATGCAATTGTACAACAGAAACATGAACTCACCGTGGTTCTCATCAAAATCTACGTTACAAAAAAATCAAATCGCAAATTAAACTCAACAAAACCAAGATTTCAACCCAAAATACACATACAATTAAAAAAACCCTAGTTAAAACCCTACACTTGGAAATCACAATTCAATCGATAGTTTTATGTGCATAAAAAAATAGAGAAAGAGATTGTTACAGTGTGTTCCGGCTTGACTTCGATATCGAAATGAGTGCCCTTAAGCGTCTTCACGAAAATCTTCATCTTCTACTTTTGATTTTGATTAACTCCGGCGTCTCCGATCTCCGGTCGCCGCCGGCGATATTATTATTATAATATATATATATATATTATATAAGGGGAGAGAGAAAGGTAAGAAGAAAACCAAGGCAAAACACAACACTGAGGAGACCTAAGCCAAGTCTATGTGGCCTTTTTATTTTTTATATATGAGATGGGCAATAATCGTGTAGGAGTCTGTTTGTGACGGTTCATTCATAAACAACCAATAAAATATAGACACGTAATAACGGTGCCCTAGCATCGCTGAGAGAGGTGTAACTCAAAACACAATCATTTTAAAATGGAAAATGTTTGGTGACTCGAATTTTTGTAACTTGAATGGTTTGAATATGTTAATACGATATCATTTTACATCTAAAACGATATTGTTTTAAATATTTCGAGCCATTCGACTTGAATGGTTTGAATATGTTAATACGATATCATTTTACATCTAAAACGATATTGTTTTAAATATTTCGAGCCATTCGAGTCATGATTTTTCGAGATTATTTATCTATCTTCTATCTTTATTCTATGCTGTTATAAAGAGAAGGCTGGAGTTACTGTTGACTTTTTATTTTTTTAATTTTCTCAAATATCTCTATGGTAATTACATAGACAGTTATGTCTTAAATTCAGAGTTTTTTCTTTTTTTTTTCCTCTTTAATCTGTCAACTTCTTTTTTCTTCAAATTTTAAATTTAATCATACAATTTACAATCTTATTTTTCTAAAACAAAATTCTCGTGCGATTACGTAGACCACCACTTCTAATAAATATATTATGTGAATTCACAAAACCAGTGTTACGCATACATATAAAAATGGGAAAATTTCATTTAAGTGTAATCTTAAAAAATTAGGGAAAATTATTTATAAGTCCTATTAAGGAGACTTATGCTACATATGATCCTACTAAAAAACTTATGTTCCCATAGGTCCTGTGAGAAGTTTGTTGACACATTTACCCTCAATATTAGTTGTTAACATCATAAATAATAGTAAAACCATATATAGGAAATTGAATGTTACCATAGATCATATCTGTATAAACGTAACGTAATGTGACACCTATATAAACGTAACGTGACACCTATGATCTGTGGTAACATGCAATTTTTTATATAATAAATTGCATGTTACCATAGATCATATCTACATAAACGTAACGTAACGTGACATTTACGTAAACGTAACGTAACACTTATGATCTATGGCAACATTTAATTTCCTATATAGGAAATTGAATGTTACTATAGATAATATCTACATAAACGTAACGTAACGTGACACCTACATAAGCGTAACGTGACACATATAAGAAATTAAATGTTGTCATAGATCATATTTATATGAAACGTAATGTGACACCAACATAAACCAACAACATTTTCACATTCAATTTAAAAAAATAAAAACTCATTAAGTTTGCAAAACGTAACGGGACACGTTACGTTACGTTTATGTAGGTATCACGTAATTACGTTACGTTTATATAGGTGTCATGTTACGTTACGTTACGTTTCGTTTCGTTTATGTAAGTGTCACGTCACGTTATGTTTATGTAGGATCTTGTGGAATACATTCCTATCTAAATAGGACTTGAGACTCTATAAAAAATTATACAGGACTTAGTCTACCATAAGTGTCTGAAAAATAACTTATAAATAAGTCTCCTTATTTTTTAATCAATTAATATGTTGAAACTATTCAAACCACAATTTGATTAAGGTTTCGTTTGGGAAGAAAGGTTGGGTTAGGTTAAGTTCGGTTTGAGACTATTTTAATCACAAAAACATAATTATTATATTTTCTCTCATAAAAATTCAAAAAAATCAAAAAATACTTCCTAAACGAGACTTTTTAATTCAAAACTAAAAGAGTCAAAAAATTAAAAAAATCAATCTACTTCCCAAACAAATCCTAAGAACGACAAATTTATCAATTCATCGTCTATAATTTAATTTTAATTTTATTCTCAAATTATACCAAATCACACCACGCGTCTATGTTCAACCCGTACGATCTGATCCATGCATTTAATACTTATCTTATGTTTTTAATGATTTGATTATAAGGTATTGTTTGTCATAACTTAAAAAAGTTAAAAAGTCAAAAAGTTACTATTCTATTTAAGGTCTCGTTTGGCATAACGTATATAATCTATCTTTTTATCTTTTTTTTCATCACATCACCTCTCTACTTTTCTGCACATCTTTTCGTAAAAAGACAAAAAGTACACTTTTTTAGGACACCCCAAACCAACCCTAAGTTATATTATCTTATTTAAGTCACATCACTCCTCTATCACATCACTTCAAACCCAACCCATATTTCATAAAAAATCAAAAAGTACACTTATTTAGATCATCCCAAACAACTCCTAAGTTTTTGTTTGTAGATTGTTTATTAAAAAAATAATTAATATAATTTTATCGTATTGTTTTTTTAAAATATAAATGACAATTATTATTTTTCAATAAAACTTTGCTAAGAAAATTTTAAAAATTTTATGTTTTATTTGAAAATATGTGTAATAAAAAATCTATATATTCTAACATTTTAAAGTCAACTTAATATATTAAGGCCTCGTGTGGGAACCAGCCAGTTTAGTTAAAAAGTCAAAAAAAAAGCTAAAAAGTCAATAATTCATACCAAAAAGTCAAAAATTCTCTTCTCTCTACTTTTTGCACATCTTTTCGTAAAAATCCAAAAAGTCATTCCAAACATACTAATTTTTTTTAACTCATATTTTAGCCAAATAACCAAAAAGTTACTAAATTAGCATGTTCCCAAACGAGGCCTAAGAGAATATATTAACAAAATTCTTAAAAATATATAGTGTAATTTTTTAAAGACAAATTGTTGGCTTTTTTTGTCACAACCCGCTCCTCGTACCTAAGGGTTAAGTATCGTGATGGCTAGTAATTGAAATTACCTTTGGCAAATTCTTGAACAAATCAATAAATGAGAGCGGAAATAATATTTAAGTGAGGGTATCAAAATAAGTATTGGAGCTTCTATTTTTATTACAAAATTTATTGATAAAAAAGGCCGATATTTACATATAAAAATATCATAAAAGTGTTGCGTGTGTCTATTCTGCAATCTCGCGTCTAAGACTGTCCAAAAATTATTTCTAAATTGCATTGTTTCCTGAAAATTGGTAAACAACTATAAGCACATGGCAGAGTGAGAAATATTATGCCAAGAGTATGAGGGACACAAAATAACCATGGATAGTTATGTAACTAAAATATTTAAGATAACTTAGTCTGAATAAATAATCATTTAAGTAGAAAAATTAAGATTATGTAAATAAACAACCATAATTACGGTACTGAACAGAACAGAGATCACAGGAGCGACATCTAGAACAGAGATATGGATTCAAGAGGTGGCTTGTACGGATTATAGAGGTGGCTTCCATAATAGTGTAGCACTTATCTCCGCACAGTACTTTGCTCCGCACAGAACAAAGGTCAATAGATCAATGACAACAAAGGGCCACAAAGTGACCAAATAGAGTTGATGGTTATTTAAGTCTCCCAAGGCGTGAGACTCCCGTGGTGGTACTTAAAAAACATAATTGTTTTTAAGGTTATAGTCAAATATTATTTCTGAATTGCATTGTTTTCTGAAAATTGGTAAACAACTATAAGCACATGGCAGAGTGAGAAATATTATGCCAAAAGTATAAGGGTGTGGACGCGCTCGAACATCCCGGGAAAATCCCGTTTCGTTCATTTGAGCTTACCACAGTTCAGACTTAAATGTCACGGTTCTGAATCTAATCTCACAATGTGCGATGTAAGATCGATAAATCACCAAAGAGTCCAAATCCGACAAATAGTTTTTGAAAAACTGATTTTTAATAAAAAAGTGCCAAACATGGACTGCTTTGCCAAATACAGAGTCGCTACCTAAATATTTTGTTTTGGGGGAATTTAGAAAACCTTGATTCGTGCCTAAGGCCACGTGTCCGCCATCACCAAAGTTGCTTCGACTCGGGAACTTGGGTACGAGAGGGGAAGGTCATGCAATGAGCACCCCCATTCGTCCGATCAAAGATCGGCCTGTACTAAGCATGATATCTTGTTTTTGAAAACACATGTGCTTTTATTTCGATTAATTAGCTAGTCTTACTACGTGATGCGCACAGCAAACAAGTATAGACTAGATCGCCTAATTTGGAACGAAGCATCGCATATCCGTTTGTTTGAAAAATAGTTTAAAATTTGCTACTCGCAAGTAGGCTAAAATGCAGATTTCAATGAATTGTTCAAATTCAAGTAATCCAACTTTCGCCCACAGGCATTCAGGCAGTTAATCAACTAAGCAGTTAGCCTCATGGCAAGCATGCTTTCATGGCAACATTAACACACATGCAGTATGCTAAAGTGTAAATACTCACAGTGTACTCTGAGCCAAAACAAAGAACTAGTTAGAAATCATGTATGATCCTAGTTTATGTTAAGGTGGCTAATGTAACACATGCGAAGATGCAGCTAAGATAGGCTCGGCTATTCTAGTCATGTCATGTGAAATGCAACTCGACACATGTATTCAAATAAATGTATTGAAATACAATGCAGTTAGTATGATGCGCCGAGCCCGGTGCATGCAATACAGATGAATGGGTGCACGCCTGCGAGCATAAGGTATGCCAAACGAAATATGTCCTAAAACTAACCATTGTAAGCGGTTAAGTAAAAGGGAGAAAGAAATGGATGTTGGAAGACATGCATCACACACACGCACACTTATTACAACACTTGGCTCTCTTGAGGGAGAGACCGAATAAGAAGCTAACTAGCTAATCTAAGCTGATTAAACTAATTATTACACAACAAATTAATTAACTAATCCTAGTTAACTAATTATTACAAAACGAATTAAATAGCTAACACATTAACTATTAAGGGTACAAACCAAAGCGTAAACTAGCTATCTAAGCATGGCAGCTAAGGAAAGCAGTAAAACAGGAGGTTCTCGGAGGGAGAAGACTGGATGCATGCTCGGTCGCCTCGTTCGGAAATCCAATGCGATGCCTCGATTTGCCTCTGTTTTCATTTGTCCTCAGAAACTTGCATCAAGCTCCAGAAAGCTGAAACTTCACATTGGGAGTCTTGTGGGAGGGT